CAACTATCTAAGCCAATCCTCCACTAGGGGTTCCTACCATGGTAGTGGTTGAGGACGTGTGTCTGATCGGTACGTTCGTTCACCTCGAGATCTTGGAAGTGCATTTCTGCTGCGCAGGTTTGCAGAATCTGCTGGGCGCGAGCGGGTGCTCTTCGAGACTGCACTCTCGTTGTGGTGCGGTGCCCATTTTCGGATTTGGCGATCACTCTTCGTGGCAGGCGCAAGGGAAACCTCATGCTTTGGTGGTCCAAAGCCGACCTTCCGTGACAAGAGCAGGAGGTCGGAGCGGCCTTATGTCGATGTACAGATTTCGTGGCAGGCGCAGTGCCTTGGACATGGTGGTCTTCGGCGTGCTCTGATTTCGTGGCGGGGGCAGTGAACCGTGACTTTTGGACATGTGGCTCGTTTTCAGAAATCAATCGGAGGGAGTCTCGAGCGAAAGCTGCGCTTAGGCATCTTGACATTGTCTTTGGAAGTGCTCTTGCTGCGAATCGCGTTGGCAGGGGCTGCGATGCGAATCTTGATGCGCAGACTTCGTGGCAGGCGCAGTACTCTGTGGACTTTGAAGTGCAAATTTCGTTCCACTTCAGAAGAACTTTGTAAACCTTGAAGTGCAAATGTGCCCTCTCCACCTCTACACCTCTAGAACTCTGAACCTACTCCTTCAATTCTAAGCCTGCACCTGGTTTGTGAACCACCATCACCACGATCTCCACCTTCATCACCACCATCATCATCACCATCACCTATCTCTGGATACACCTCTAGGCCTTAGGACTTTAGACACACTGTTTGGGGTCTCTTGCCAGGACAGTGTTTAATTTCTTTTTTTCAAGCCTTTCAAACATCAAGTCGCTTCACATCACAATAGCAGGAGTGATCATCTGCCAAGTCCTCTGGAGGAATCAGTGTTCACACTTATGCTGCAGCTTATGTTTTGGATATTGATCCGATCCGTATGAGACACGGATCTCGAGTGCAAGCAACTCTTGCAAAATTGGAGGCTTGATATTTGGCATGTGCAAATTTGGGGTGTTCAAGCACAAGTACGCATGGCAAGTCTTCCCTGTTCCCGGATCCCTGTTCAGAACAAGATGTGACGCATCCGCTTGGGCACGGTCCATTGCCATGTCCTCAATTGCGCCGCCCATGGCGTCGACCCCATGTCCGCTCGTCCGCCCCACCAAGCCTTGAAGAAGTAGGTCTGCCGAGCCACAGCAAAGAGCAATGCAGCCAGCCCCGCCAAGGGCCCCAAGGATTGGAAGGAAGGACTGGATTCCTGACAAGTGAAAGGATTGCCCCAAAGCTGCTAGTGTTCGACTTTGAATGGCACAAAAAAAACACCAGAAAGTCGTCGTCGTCGTCGTCGTCGTCGTCGTAGTAGTAGTAGTAGCAGCAGCAGTAGCAGTAGTTGTAGTAGTCGTCGTAGTGGTAGGAGTAGGAGCAGTCGTAGTTGTAGTCGTAGTCGTCGTCGTCATCGTAGTAACAGCAGTTTGTATTAATAACGTTGTTTAAAAGGGGTCTTAGAATGTTCCGGGCTCCCTCTATAGAATTAGAAAAACCTTCTATCTGTAAGTCCGCAAAAAGTGGGCTAGCGATGAAAAACGCCTGGAGATAGTGCTTCATATTGATATAATATACTTTTAAATCCCTTTCGGCCCCTATTGATTTCCTTGCAAATACCTTGTGATTCCTACTGAGTAACTTTTTTGGATTCCTATTGACTGACTTCCTGTTTGCATCCGTTGATTCCTAGTGATTTCCGCAAAAACCGTTTGGTTCCTATTGATTTTCCCTTAAGCTCTTTTTGATACATTTTGATTTCCTTGAAATGTCCTTTCCGTTCCTATTGATGTCCTTTCAAATTCCTTTTGATCCCCATTGATTTCCTTGCAGATTCCTTGTGATTCCTGCTGAGTACCTTTTTGATTCCTATTGACTTCCTGTGTGTTTCCTTTGATTCCTAGTGATTTCCTCCAAAAACCTTTTGGTTCCTATTGGTTTCCTTTTAAACTCACTCCTTTGATATATGTTGATTTCCTTGTAAATTCCTTTCGGTTCCTATTGATGTCCTTCCAAAATCCTTTTGATTCCTATTGATTTTCTTGTAATTTCCTGTTGGTTCCTATTCATTACCTTTTGGATTCCTATCAATGTCCTGTTTAAATTCTGTTTGGTTCTTATCTAGGTCCTGTTTAAATTATGTATGCTTCTAATCTATTTCCTTTCCAATTCCGTTTGGTTCCAAAAAACCTTGTGATTCCAATATGATTCTTTTAAATTCATGTTGATTCCTATTGATGTCCTTTCAAAAATCCGTTTGATTCCTATTGGTTTCCTTTAACAGTCCTTTTGATTCCTATTGATGTCCTCTTAAACTCCTGTTGAGTCCTATTAATATCCTCTTAGATTCCTTGTGATTCCTATTGACTTCCTTGCACATTGTTTGATTCCTATTGATGTCCTTTCAAATTCCTTCGGTTCGTGTTAAAAACCCTTTTGGTTCCTATTCATGTCCTTTGCAAATCCTTTGGTTCGTATTGATTTCCTTTTAAACTCCTTTTATGTCCTGTTGATTTATTTTGTTTCCTTTTGAATTATTGCTTTCCTTTTACACTAAACTCCTTACTATTTCCTTTATGAACTCCTTTTGATTCCTAGCGAGCTCCTTTAAAATCCTTCTGATTCCTATTGATTTCCTTTTGGATTCCTTTCAAGTTCCTCTGCTCTGAGCTGGACATTCTTGGGCATGGAAGGACAGCAGTGAAGGAAATGCCACAACACATTCTATGTCTAATGGAAAGTGAAATTTCACATTCTAACTTCGCAGGGCCTCAATTAGCATGTAATTACAGTATCGGTAGCGTTTTCGTGTTCCCGTTAACTTAAAATTGATCAGTTCAAATGTCCAAACGCACATTCTACCTTTCAGTCCGTCGGTATAATTGGGATTCGACTTTATAAGCTTCGCAGTTTCTCTTGAGGTTCTGCTTCGGTGGGTGAATCCACATGCAAATCCTACACAAATTCTCGTCTGGTGATGCTTTCTTCAGGAGCTCATCCATTTCATAGGCTTCCACCACCCGCACAGAAACCCCAACAGCACCTGTTCAGGTTCCGCATCCTCAGGGGTCGTTCCTGCCGCAATCCGTGGTGCCTCAAGGACGTCCACCTGGCAGCTCAAGCAGTGCTCAAGCGCGTGGATTGGGATAAGAATTCTGCTGAAACATGGGTCCGGCATCTTTAAAATCCAATCTGGTTTCCCTTCAAGGGAGGGGCCTAAGGGGGTGGTGGGATGAGATCGAGGACTTCGGCAGCTTCATCAGAAAAGGCCTCAACGTAGACCCGCTTGCCAAACTGAGGAAGCCGATACACTGCACCTCTGCTGGGATCACGGGCTGAAGAATTGCGGAAACAAATGAACAAGCCATCTCTGACTTCGCAGCTGGCCTTTGCCCCTCATGCCCGGCCAGCTGTCACCCTTCAGAACTGTCATCCAGCCCGGTGGCACTTGCTTGAAGGCCTGGAAGCTGCCCGAGGGAACGAGAAGCTGCCCAGGTCCAACTTCAAGCTCATCACCCACCTCTGACACATTGGTGCCCTTTTTTGTCAAGCTTCCTGCCCAGGCCTCGGCCAGTCGAAGTTCCTTGAGTGACTGGTTCACTACTGGTGCTTAAGTCGTGGATTCAATTGCTGTGATTCCCTTCGTACGGGTCTATATACTGTGATTTCAGAAGAACCATCTAACAAGGAACACCAGAGTGTACTGAGGTGACATTCACCTATGCTTCAAGATATAGAGCCTCCAGCATCTTTTCCCACTTCTCTCTAGCGTAGCAAGGTTGAATTGAAATTCACAAATCCGACTCTGACTATGCGTTCATTCCTATATAGCTTTAGCTAGCGGGGGGTTACTTTCGTTTGGGAACGAAAATGCCCGGGCCTATTCTGCATCATGAGGTGTGTCTGGGAGACGAATGGGATTGGGAGAAAACATGAAAAAACACATGGTGTTTATATCAGGTCTGTCTGACTGTATTTCTCGTCATCGTATCATTTGCATCACCAGGTCCATGAAAAGGAAACAAGCGACTCCTCTCAGCAGTGAATGTCTTAATACATATGTCATGATTGCATCATACGCATCAGCTGGCTGCAATTGTATAGCTTGTCATGGCGACATATGCAAATTAGCATCATTGGCCACCCATAAAAAATGTACAATTTCAAGGGGGTCCAACGCCGCTTGCAAAATGCAAGTAAGAAATAGCTAAACAAGTTGTGAGAGGGTCCAATAATAGACTGATTAGTGATTATAGAGACTTCTTTTACCCTCGCAGAGTGCCACTGGTGCGGGCAGTTGTTGTCGCGAAGCGGCCCGAAAAAGCATCAACAAGCCGACTTCGATTCACACACCTCTGGAAACTGGAGGCCTGAAGTGGGCAGTTGGATGTAAATTGTTGGAAGTGTGGACCCCAAACCCAAAACGCGGCCCATGCGCCTCAGAGTCCATTCGCCGGATCTGCTCTGGCGACAGGAGCTGCTCAGCCGAGAACTGCCAAGCTGTGTGAAGAGCACGGCACTGGGTCCAAAACCGGGTGACCCGCAAAACAAAGGTGCAGGGATACACGCAGACACACACAACATTCATGTGCATGTGTATGCACGCACACACACACACACACAAGTGACCTGGAGTTGATCTGATGATCTAGAAGCTTCCATAACGGTGAAGTCGGCGGAGCTGCAAAGGGGATGAGCATACAATTGGTCCATCTTATGATTCTCAACACGTTTCTATGCATGGTAGAACGCCATCACATGACCATTGCAGTGACCATTTTAGGCCTTCTTCCTGTCAACGAACTGCTGTGGGATGAACTCCAAGGGTTCCTTGGCAGCAGGGTCCAAGTCGCCAGAATCGCCCCAAAAATCTCGTCGTCCCTGTCTGACTGCAGCAAGGGCACGCCGGCAAGCAGAAAAATCGATCTCAGGGAAGTCTCCGGGGTGGGTGCTTCCTGCTTGTCCGTACAAGTCAGCCTCCACCTGAGAACAAGCAAGTCAAAAAGAGTCCGTTGCAGGGCACCACAAATTATGCACACGTCTGCCATGAAGTTCACCCGGTGTTGCCTCAACTTGGTAGAGCCGGTTGAGGCATGCATGGACCACATGACCATCAAGACCTCTGCAGCGAAAGGTCAGATCCAATCCGAGGAGGCATCCCACTGCATCGTTGATTCTAGCTGAAGGCATATCACTGAATACTACATCCAGGGAATCCCGATACTCATCAACGACCACTTGGAGCCTCAATGACGGTGCTCCGGATCAAGTCACGATACTCCTCAACAGCTTCATGTCCCCGTGGTTGAATGCATCTTTTGAACTGCAAACGGTCTGGCAAAGTCTGATATTAGATATATACGTAGTTTGTTTATATGTTCCTACAGTAGGAATGTGTGCGCGTGCTTAGTATGTTTCCGTGTTCAACAATCCAACTACACAAGAAAGTAACGAGCATATAAAGTTCTCAAAGTGCTTTGTGCGAGCACACAGCTTGTGCATCGATCCCTCTGTCCTCTGTCAGCAACCGCGCAGGGAGTTGATTCGCCACTTCATGCAGAACTTTGTCATGTCCCACCTCAAGAAAGTTTGTCAGCCGGGACCATACCCCCACAAAAGAACTCAACACATGCTCCTTCAGAATGCGTGGCCCAAAACAAATCCAAAAGAGCTAGGATGCGGTTTTCATCGGTTTTCCGTAGCCAATGGGCGACCGCGGAGGTCATTTCAGCCAGAACTGTGGGGGGCCTTGGAAGTGGCACGTTCGCGTAATTCCTCCATGCTCCGGTCCGAGGTACGCCTCGGAAAAACTGAGTGCGGTGGTCGAAAGGAGTGGGCACAGGAAAATATAGCACAATCACCGTGGTTGGAATCAACCATGCCCCAGGAGAAAGAGGATTTACTTTGACTTCAACATGGACGAAAGTTTGAGAAGGGCAATCTTGGCAAGGCATCTCGGCCATGTCATCTCAAATGCATATTCCATCAGGCTCCTTGCGAGGCTACCCCCGCTCTGTCAGCACCGGTCGATTCATGTCGATTCTGTGGTGGCGGATCTGCCGTGGTGGTGCCAAACGGCCCATCATTCCCCAGTGCTTTCGAGACCCACCCGGACAAGTACATCAAGTATCTTGCTTTTTGTATGCTTTGGTGGAGTACTCCGGGTCCATTGGCAACCATAATCTTTCATCAACACTGGAACCAACACATGCTATGCAAGCCTTTATCTTAACTTTTCCAACGTCGCTAGGGCTCTGGGCTGCATGAGGCTAAAGATTCACCAACGATTGATTTCAATTGCACCCTCAAAAACGAACCTGGTCTGCACACATTGAAATATTAGATGACACACACACACACACACGCACAATAATGCAAGCATTTTCATGACCATCCACGGACTTGCATACCAGGCGCAACAATTTCTTCATCACCTTGGCATCTTGTAGCTGTTTCTGGAGCTCCTCATGACTTGGTAGTTGGTCCAATGGAGTGCGGAAGGCCTGGGCGAGGAAAAAACAACTCATCTCCACTCACAGTTGAGATCTCGGAATCCAAAAAAGCAAACCTGGGACCCTTCAGGACCCCAGTTGGGACCCGTCGGGACCCTATCCGACCCTATCCCTTTCTCACCTTTCTCCAAGCTCTTGCTCCAACGCTCCTTCCCTTGTCCAAGGCGCAGGTGAGAGCGGATCGATGTCATCCGGCGTCTCGACTACCCCGCTGATATCAAACAGAGGGAGTTCCTGAGCGCCCACGAGAAGCCAGACGGGAGCATCAGCTCACTCGGAAGACAAGACCCTACCTACAGCACAACCTGCCCGTAGCCATCCCTCCGGCAGGCCTCCAACTTGTCCTGCCACGCCTGTCAGGGAAACGAAGCTCGTCCAGTTTGTCTTGGCTTGGGAATGGGTTTCCACAGGTTTCCATGTATCATAAGAACATCCACCATGTCCACGAGCTGCTGCAAAGCTGCCTTGGTCCTTTTGTCCGAAAACTCCCGACGGCTCACGATGCAGATGTTCACGTCCGGATCGGCCACTACAGGTCCTGAGAAAAATGCCGGTGGTTTTCCTTCGTTTCAGCTCGGCCGCCGTGCTTGCGACATCGTGAAGGAACGCATAAGCTCATCCCCCCAATCCCGTGAATCAAAGCTCAGTGTGTGAGCAGCTATAGCTTCCCTACCACTCTACCGAGGATGTCCCTTTTCCTCGGTGCGTTTTCCCACCAAAGGCACGTAGTGCACTGGCGAAGGGTACCGTCACGAAGCCTTGTGACTTCCCTTTCTTCAGCCATCTCCTCAGCTCTCTCTCTCTCTCTCTACACGCTGCCGTCTGCAGCCAGGACTGCCTGTGCTTTGTGCCCCTCCATTGATGGAAAGAAGCCACATTTTTTTGCAAAACAAAGCAAGCATTTAGGTCGTGTTCCTGTGCGCCTGCCATGCACTTCCTCCTGCCCTAGAGAAGGCCAAGGCACCGCAACACCAAATGCCCGGGATCAAAGTCCTGTGCACCCCCAAAAATATACACATATATATATATATATACAAAGTTAAACTGGTATGGTTTCAAGCACGCACGACTGCAAGAATGTAAAATTAGCTCTCAAATGTGTCATGCATGTGCCTGAAACCAAGACCTCTGGGACCTACTCTGCCCCGCCTGCCGCATGAGGCGCTTGACGGCGTTGATCTCTGGGAATAAATGTGGAGCCGGAAAGTCTTCCTGACAAAGGCAACAACGGCATGTCCATATTTGGATTTTCCACGGTTGCAAAACGCCCGGAGGCCCCACTTCGCATGCCAAGTCCAAGTTTCCCTTTCAGCTTCGACTTCTCTGCGCAATTGTTCCATTTTCGCAGCCTCCTCCTGACAAACAACCGCAGCGACAACAAGCGGTCATCATGGCAATATAATATGAATAAGCAATAAGGCAATAAGGGAGTCTTGACTTCTTCACTGACTTTTTTTGATTTCGAGTTCATCTCAATAAGGAAGATTACACAACAACTTATCTGCCCGCTTTAAATGGCTCTACACTAAGTGGGTTCTGCTTGAGCTGCTTGAGTGATGATCTTCGCGAAGCTCATGGTGACTAGAGCATCTCTGCACAAGAAAGACATCTCAAAAAGGATTGCGAGCTCTCTGCGTGTTCTTATTGCTTCATCCTGCACTTTGGTCTACCTCTGACCTGTCAACCTCAGAGCTTTCTGCAATGACTTCTGCGGTGACTGAGCTCAGCATCCTCCTCCATGCGTCGTTTCTCTTCTTCCTCCTCGAGGAGCTTCTGCTTCCGACTCCGTCGCGACGGGGCAACCAGGTCGGTCTGAGCAAATCAAAGAAGGCACCCAAGAGCGCTTTGTTCGATAAAGAAGTTGAGAAAGACGAATGCTGGCAATTGGAATTAGTTGGCTGCACGACCCAAGTATGGGACATCAACAGGTTTTCTGCATCAATCTGACCCAGGGGTCCGGCATCAAACTTCAAGCCACGAACGGCCGTCTTGGGCTCGATCTGCTTCGCACACGGCCCCGAAAAACACAAAGCCTGGACAGGCACAGTGATGAATGATTTGCAGGTGCTCGCATGGAGTGCCATAGGTTTGGCATAAGGAGTCACATGTGGATATATCAATGACCTGCCTGAGGTATCCTATCAGGGGAACTCGTTACTCATATGATCGGCCACAATTCAAACCATTCAGGACTCAAGCGCCATAGCATTCAGTGCTCTGCTGCAGTAGACAAGTCGGAGATCCAGCCAACTTCTATCAACAAACGAATTCCAGAAGTTGGGTTCTGTGCATTGGGCTGACTTTCTCTCAGTCAGAGATCGGCAGCACCATAGAATTTGCGCGTCCCCATACAAAGCGGAGTGCAAAAATGCCCTGTTTTGTCTCTTGGACCTTGTGCTGAGTGGGGGCAGCGATTGCCACGGCAAATTCACAGTACAGACCTCCCAAACCTGACTCTCGGAATCAACCCGTTTCACATCTGGCGTCGACCTAATGCAAATAAGTAGCTGCAGCCACAATCGAGAGGCTCAGCATCAGCAAAAGGCCTAAATGCCACGGCACACTTGTGCAGTTGCAGGTTGGGTTTCGTTCCTCAAGTCATGCATTTGTAGCACCCCAAGACCAAATGATAGTGGAGGCTCTTCTAGGCTTCCAGCCGCGACGAGCCTGCGCCCAAGCAATGACAGTGGATCCGGCCCACCGACCCACACAAAGTTTAGGTGCTCTTCCTTTTGCCTGTGTGTGTGTGTGGGATGCAGCCCGCTGGAACAGCAAATGATCTTCTTGCAACTCGAACAGCATGCAGCTCAGCACGCAGCGCCCGGACAAGCTTTTTCCATTAGTCCATTCCCTCTAAGAAACTCGACATAGAGTCGGCGTCTGGCAGCTCCTTGCAAGATGATCCAGCCACAAGAACTGACGCACAAGCCACACAAGCAAACCAAGCTCACCCATCCAGAAAAAGATGAGACCTCCAAAAAAGAAAGGACGCAAAAACAAATCAGAAGCAAATCATCTTCCGCGTCCTGCCAGCGCGGAGGAAATTTTGTTTGGCTTCTCTCTGCCTCCTGCACCATCTCAGGTGGACGGCGCGGTCCAAAGGGGCGTCGAGCGAAGCGGCCTGGAAGAGCCCAGCGGGTCCAGCGAGTGGTCCACATGGAATCGTCTAAGCGACAAATTCGCAGGCCATCGCGTTTGTAGGGTGGAGGCCATTGCTCTCAGGTTGGAGGCCATCGCCAGTAGGGTGGAGGCCATTGCTAGTAGGTTGCTGCTGACATGAATGCCAACTGGTCTATCTTGAAAGTAGGCCTTGCGTTGCAGCCTCATCTGGAATCGGACCGGCTTGTAGGGCGTCAGCACTTACCCACTCTGCAATCAGCATCTGCTCAGCGCTTGCTCCCGAACGTTGGCCTCTTATGCAAATGCAGTGACAAGCCAGATGTACAGAGGCATAAACATGCGTAAGGCGTAAATCACCTCATATCTTAGAACTCAGCACTGAGATCCCAGCAAAGCAAGCATATACTCAAGCCACGGCCAGCCTTCTCACAAAGTGACACATCACAAACTTCCTCTAGAGAACCGGCTCCATTACGACTTCTTGGCTACTCTTACAGTATATAGATAATCTTCTTACTAGCATGTCTACCTCCTCCACATGTCGCCGGCAACGCCCACAAAAAGGTCCATGGCCGCACGGTGAAGCAAAAAGATCGCCACCAACAACACTTGCCTTGGGACAATCAAAGAACGTTTCTTCAGCTTGCCAAATCGCACCAACACTTTGGATATTTGAAAAACTCCGCGCCGTGCATCTCAATGCCACCCCAGATGCTTTGCAAAAGCAACACTCAGAACGGAATGGCCCATCCTCAATCCGCACATGCTCAGATCATGGACAACTGGCATCGCCCTCCTCCAAAGAAACGAGCAGAAAATGGCACCCCACGACAAAACTACTAGCAAGTGGTTACGGAACTCCCTGTAGCTCCTGCGCTCTGTTGAAAAAATCATAAACTAGCATAGACCCCCAAACAGCTTAGTTGGGGGACAAGAATAGGACAAGAGGAGGACACAGGAGCGCGGCCAGGGGACAACTGCAAGCACCAGATGGACAAGAGGAGGACAAGAGGAGGACACAGGGTTGGCCAGCGCCAGGAGGACAAGAGGAAGACAACAAAAGAAACACCCGGACACAGCGTTCAGGGGCGCGGCCAGCCACTGTGTCCAGCTCCTTTTCTAAGGGAGAACCCCAACAGTAAACTGTCAATTAAGGATCCCTGTAGCTCCCAGCAGCTCCCTCCACCCCAGCCAGACTATTCGTTGCATCTCAGCTGCAGGAGGCGGTGTCTCCGTTGCCTTTGCCGTGCCGGCACGACGAGCACCTGCCGTGCCACGGTCGCCGACCGCGACAGAGCTGTCATGGCGTGCGACCGTGTGCTCCTGCCTTTGGCCCGGCTGCCCCTGAGCACAGGGTGAGACAAAGACATTGCAGGATGAGCAAACTCTTTACCTCTTTCAAAGGCCAACTTGAATGTATCTAGTTGACCCCGGATGAAATGATAAATTGCCCCATCAACGACCCCTGATTTGGTCCGTTACAAACAACAAAAACAATTTCAAGTCAGTCTCGATTCCCCTCCTCTTCCCTCCTTCGTTGCAAGTGCGACCTGCCGACCTGAGCTACTCCTCGACCTGCCCACCTGCCTCCACGACGTGCCTGTGGCATTAATCTGAGCCTTCAGCTCAGCACCCAGTTCATGAGGGCCATAGCCTCAAGTTGAAAGTCTTCGGGCCCTCGAAGGAGAAAAAGACTCTGATGCTGTAAGAATCTACAAGTGGCCGAAAGCGAAATCACCCAGACCCACTCCGGCATGCTAAACACCAAGCTCAAAAGTCCAAAAAACTTGTGATGAGTTGGCATGTCTTCCCTCCAAGCTGCGACCAATGCGATCAAAAGCTGCCCGTATTCGTGCATCTGCTGGGTCAAGGGCAAAAGCTGCAGAGTAAGCGAAGTAGGCATCCCTGATGGGCAGGCAGGCACGTTTCACATTGAAGGTCAGTCCCTACTCTTCTCCACTCCGCCAGCTGCACCCTAAGCGCCTAAAGCGCTCGAGGGCTTCCAGCGCGCATCCACGCCTGAAGTGTGCCTAGCACTGGTGGATGCACATGAATTGGAAGTGCCCCTTTACGAGCCAAGAATCAGGACCACGTAGAGATGCCCTTGTTAGAAGCTATTAGTAGTAATGCCCTTGTTACTAGTAGCGATGCCCTAGCTACTAGTAGCTAGAACTAGTAGCTTCTAGCTACTACTTTTTGAGATTATATATATATATATACAAAACTTGGTTGAGACGAGGCTTCGTGCCTTGACATTGTCGGGCTCCAGCGCCAAGGCTTCGTTGCTGTACTTCAGCGCAAGGTGCAGCATATGCTTGACCTGACCGTGGAAGCATATCTTCAGTACATGACCCAGCATGCCGGTTCATCTTTGACCCAAGCCACCCAAGGCCAACGGCATTGCAAGGGTGCCACTTTCAGTGCCATCAAAGCCGCATTGCCTGAGATAGGATCTGGTGCAAGTAAGACCTGGTTTCAAGTGATGTCAATCAAGCAACCTCAATAGAACCAGCAAGGCCAGAGGCACGCAAGTCTAGAAATTCAAGATCACACAAACCTACCAAGTCGCATAGAACTGCCACACGGGCGATGTCAGTTTCTTGCAATAGCTCCTGCCAGAGCAGTGGGTCCATCTGTATACCTTTGCCTATGGATACTGAAGCCCTGAACAGCACGGCAGTTGTGGACGTCCTCGTACATCCTTAGCTCTTCATGTTTAGCTGCAGATGTTGGACTCCACAGTCATTGTTCATGTCTGTCGCGGTTATCAACCAAGACTCCGCAGTGCTTTAGCATGCTGTCCGCCTCTTGCGGCAGCATCAGCCAAATCCTCTAGTGCCACCAAATGGACACCAACACCAACCAAAAACTGAAAGAAACAATTCGAGGCTTTTGTATAAGTATAGAGGCTTCACCAGACTATGCTTCAAACGGTGGGGGGCAAAGGAACATTTGTGACAGTAAAAGGACATGTCGAAAAGGGCGTCTCTACAAAATGAATGCCTCTGCATTCTCATACTCTCCTTCTTCTCCTGATGCTTTGCAGGTTCGCAAGGATTCTTGCCTTAGGCCATGAAAAGCTCAGTACGTTGGACGCATGTGGCTACTGGACAAAAGGACATGGCTGGGGTTTCGGACCCTCTTCTCCGGCCGACTCGTCTTGAGCTGGCACAGAGGCCTCTCCATCACACATGGCGGGAAAAAGGGCATACATTCACATACGAGCGTTTCATCACTTAGAAAGGAATTATATAGCAAGAGTCATCTGAAGAGCATTCATCGTTCTATCCATTCACACCTGTCTTAACCCTAGCCGCCATGCTCCGGTGCCTGCATTTTGGCCTCCACAGGCAAAGGATGCAGCGCATGGGTTTCAGAGGGCCACGTCGGTCGCCACGCATTCAGGGCAAACCTGGGCGCCAATCGTGCGTGTGGGGCTCCTTGTGGTGAAGCTGCCTGTTAGAAGCTGATTGAATCTATGGCACACATGTAACACCTACAATGAGTGCCTGGCCGTTTCACATTACACCAACATAGACCCCAGATTGCATCTTGCAAATGCTCATGAGGTGCCAACCAACTTCCAAATGCAATATAAGTAGGGCTGGACCAGCAATGGAAGGTGACGGGATCAAAGAAACGGCTCCAGAGTTAAAAAGATAAAACTGATATCCGGACCTGGGTGGACCTGGGTGGACCTGGAGGATTCAACGGTTTTAAGCGAACAGTTGCGACAGGGTTCCCGGCCAAAAGTTACAATCAAAAGAGTTCCTGTTCGCAGAGTTCCAGGCCTTCCTAGGTTCCAGTTCCTTGCCTTGCGGAAAGTTGAGGTTTTGATCATCAACTCCAAGCAATTGAAGAGACGTACAGTAAGAACTAGAACCCCGCTTCCAGCTATCTGGAGAACCAAAAAACAGCACATAGGTTGCTTTGCGCAAGGGACCTGGCGCTCGGCCTCACAGTGGCACCGTTGCCAGGACTGGGGTCCGCGGTCTGCTGCGGCATCTTCGGCAGCTCGGCGGCAAATGTGCGGCCGAGGTCCAGGGAGGCAGTCAAGGTCTGAAAATGTCAGGTGGCATGTGTCTCAGGATGCAACACACCTACGCTTAAAAAGAAGCCAAGTACAGTACATCATGAAACAGAAATGCAAACACCTTCTTGAGTGATGCCCAGACAAGACTATGCATTCAATTCCAAACCTTCCATGAGACCCTTTGGCCAACGGCCTGCAGGTCTCCAGTCTCTAAAGCATCTTTGCACCGCTGGGCGGCTAGGTGCAAGGCTTCCAATGGCCCATCCGTCATTGCCTGGCCAGTTTCATCCATGCCTTGGACAGCACAAATGTTGGTGATCCAGACTAGGTCGGCTAGCAGGCAGATACTAGAAACTATCCTTTGAGGGTGCTACGCTTGTATATCTTCATGCACTTGAATAGCCCAAGCTCTCAGCCCTGCACATTGCTTCGCGACCGTGAACTGCCGATAGATTAGCTCTTGTCGCTTCTGACGGTCCACTCTGGAGTCCTGCACCGCTGTGTCGGATGTCGTAAGAAAACAGGTCTGAACGAAGCCACGAACCACACAAACGACAATCGTCATGTTCTTCACGTTCGCATGCTGTCCTCGCCATCGCTTTCAGTCTCGCTCATCGACGAAACAGCTTGGCACGACAAATCACTGTTCACCATCCTTCACTCCTGTGCTTCTGTGCTTCGTTCTTGCATTTCCTTCTTCTATGTTTCTCCTCACTTTCACGTAACTAAGCTTGTCGACTCTGAGTGCTCCTAGCTGAGCCCAGATGGCGGAGAACTCAGACGCTGATATGATACTGATATGTTAAACTCAAGAGCAAGAAAAAAGAACATGGATGTATTGAAATGTATTGGATTGGCACCGAAATGCATCTTTCACCCTCTAGATCCATGTGTGTGTGTGTGTCGTGTGCCCAGCAATGACGTCGTGGCCTGCGGCTCCGTGCGCCATGACCGAGCCGCTGTCATCAAGAAAATTGGAGGACAGGTGTGCGGAGGAATGGACCCTTCGTTCAAGTGGCCAGTCCGGTGCCTTTCCAGTCAGTAACGATGTGGGGCTTGGTATATTGTTTGGCCGTGTTTATATAATGCTTTCAGCCATCTGACCGAATGCGTGTTTTTGGCTGCAAGCATGAGAGCCGTGGGTCCTTGAATCTTGCTTCTTAGTTACTCTTAGTTGGCTTTTGCCTGCAAACTGTGAGCCTGTAATGGCTGGACGGTGGGAGAGTCGGGAACCAATCTTGGCTTCCTTAGCTTCGTTAAGGAACTGTTTATCACAGCCGCAGTAACCTGATGCAGTCCCATGGTATCCCACGGTCCTGTCTCACTCTCTGCTGAGGAGTGTTGCACGTGCAGCCCGAATAACTCCAACCCTTGAGGGCATCCACTCGGTGAGGGTGCAGATGGCATTGAACTTGAAGCCACCAGCTTTCCTCAAAGCAAGGTTGCAAATCAAGGCTTCAAGCTGCAAAGTAACCATGTGTTTGATCTCAACTTACTCCCTCCCGCTTGTTTAGAGGCGTCCTTCTGCCTGATTCGTGGGGGAGGGGACAACGCAAGTAAATTCTATCCACATGGGCCATGCAGGCTTTATTGCCTGGGTGTGGTTTGGAGGGTGCAACACAATGCCACACCACACTGACACAACCTGTGACTCACTGACCGAGCTGCGTCTTCGTCACAGAAATCTTGGGCCGCTCCTTGTTCAAGCGGATGCCCACGTCATTCAGCTCCTCACAGCTTCCATTGAACTGTGGCTCCAAAAACGTGAAGGAGTGCCAAAAAGTGCTTGGAAACCAAAGACACTGAATGACAGGTTGACTCTCCTTGGTACCACAGCTAAACTTACATTTTTAACAGGCCAGCTTGAGAGAAGTGTTGATGCCATGAAAGCTCCTTTGTGAGCATTTGCCTTTGCGCGTCGTCCTTTGTGGCATCCAGGATCATCAGGATCCTCGGCCACGCGTCTAATTGACGGCTGCGGCGTCTGCTCCGGCTCTCTGCGGCGCGCCAAGGCACATGTCGGCTGATCGGGCTGTGGCGATGACCTGCCTCCCTCGGCCTGAACGAAAGCACAACTCAGAAGCCGGTCCTGATCAGTGCTGAAACTGACCATGTCCGGCTGTGAGCTCCTTTTTTTTTCTGCACAACTGACTCTGTGCACCCAGGCAGCTTTGGCCTGGTGGAATATGCTTGAAGGCTTGAAGGTTTTTCGACTGTCTTTGAGCCGCCGTCCGACATGCTTGTCGACTTTCTTAGAGCCGTCCAGTCAAATCTCAACCCGTGAGCAATGGCACGAATAGAGTGCTCGTGGCTATACAAATACGGAAGTGGCCCCAAGCAAAGCCGCATGAATGAGCCTCCGGGCAAGATGCAAACATAAACTTTGTACTGGATCTACCACTGAGCTCAAAAGCAACGGATAAAAGTACTGTGAAGCTGGGCTCCTGATTCAACGGGTGCCAAGTAAAGACTCAGGAAAAACCAAACAGAACGCAAACTTGGATATAACTTGGATATAACAAGAACGGGTGCTGCTTCTCTCGAACGAACATCTGACGAGCCTCTGTCCGTATATATGCGCTTGCAAAGGCACAGTGATACCTTACACCAGCACAGGGCATTCGCGGGGCCCAGAAACGACGCCCGCAGTATAGCTCCTGAGCAAGTGGAAGAAGGTTGTATTTAGATGTACTGTACTTAGCACATCGTTCTGGACGCAAGCAGGTGTATCGAGTCAGCCTTTCAAGGAACTCTTGACATGCTGAAGGATGAGGCTGCCAAGCGAACAAAAGCACGCTTAAAGTATGGAACATGTGTGAGAGAAACTTGGGACAAGACAGCTGGGTGTGAAGGCTTGTTTGGGCCAAAGCTTGCCAGCCAACTCCCATCCTGGTCGCTCCAGACCCCACCAGGTGACAGCTTTGGTCCAAACCTCGGAAAATCTGCACCAATTTGAACATACTCGCCCCATGTGACTCCGCCTGTTTCAACCTCCGTGAACCTAGCACAACCCACTGCAACCGCGTGACTATGGAAGGAGAAGCGATCACAAAGCTTGCCAAATTTCCTGAGATGCAGGACTGCTCAAGCCCGTCAGTGGGATCCGAAACCGACAGCCAACAAAGCAAGTGCCTGGTTGCACTGATGCAAGTGTTAACAACTTTGCTATGATATCGATATCGATATCGATACCAGCACATGGGATATGATGTGCAACTTGCATTACAGGGGCACCTACAATGTCCGAATCGTGCAAACAAGATTCTGGCAGTGCTTCTGACACTGTAAAGAATCAGCCTGACAAGGCCCATGTGCCACTCTGTAATGACCCTACCACAGGCCTGCCTGCCAGCCGGACTCTATCAAAATGCCTGTAAAGTCCACCCCAGCCTGGAAAGTCCAACCAGCTACTCGACGAAACGTTGCCGGAAAAGAGTCACAGCAGTGCATGAAATGCGCACACGTGTGCACTCTGTGTGGGTCTGGTATTCAACAACTCCAATGGCTCCAGCAGTGCTAGTTCAACGAGGCCCAGGGACACTTGAACAACACATGGCACAAAAATCCTACAAAAGTACTTTGTTTCGAACTATATAAGTACAAAGAGGTCATGCTGGATTCTTTGTCTGCTAACTGTTTGGCATCAAGAAAAAACTCCGCCACCACCCAGGAGAGGATACCTCTACTGCGATCCCAGCAAAAAAGTACTGTACCACTATGGGACAGCTCCGAAAAGCCCGTGTACAGCGATACACGCATCGCCGTCTTCAAGCGCAGCGGTGCAGCCCGCCGTCAAGCATTCACACCAGAGTTCCAGTTCTCCAATAGAACAGCGCCACACAAACAGTCCGAAGAGGTTCTGCGCACTAAATCTCATGGCACACTCAGAAGGAATCTTGCCCAACGGCACGCCACATAGAAAGCGGCGCTGTTAAAGACAACCAAAGCGCTCTGAATACAATTTCTTCCCAAAGCGGGGAACAAAGTTAGCAGAAGCTACTCTTTGAGCCTTTGCACTCTTGAAACGTGCCACTGTTCAGCGGAGGCCAAGTCAAAGCCGCACGAAATGACTTTCAGCGAAAAAATGTGTCAAACTACAGTAAGCGCCGCAGAGCTGTGGAGCCACAAAGGGTCGGGTTGCACTAAAGTTCCACGGAAACAGCGCCACTTCCGAGGTCCCCCGTGCACAGGCGACGCCCAAACGTCGCTGTCTCTTCCAACGTCGCTGTCCAACTTGAAAGACTCTCGAGCAGGAATGCGCCGGTCCCTCAAGCCACCCCGCCACGGCAAGTACCGTGAAACAGCACCAGGGACAATGGCCATACGACTGGACTATATAACTTGACTTGTCTTGACACGCAATGACTTAGCTCGCTGATGTCTGCTGGGAGTTGGGACAAGGGTGTTTGGGAAGAAATCGGGGTTGCCCAGCCTGGTAGCATTCATGGTCCATAAGCTGAATGATTGCCACCGTGTCAGGGTGCTGCTGAACCTTGGATTAGTCAAAAGCCATCCTAACTGCATCTCCATGCATCTAAAGCACTCTTATGCTCCAACAAATGCCCCTGCGGGGTATTATGTACCAGGACTAGGACAAATCATGTACGTGAATTCGCCCATTAGGTTGAGGTCCCCTCATGCACACGACAGACCAGTAGAAATAGTAGAACTTCAAACAACTCAAACCAAGCTGCATGGTCACAGCCGGTGCTGCCACTGATGAAGCCCCATCCTCTGTGTGGCATTCCTACCTGTGCAGCTGCTCATCACTCATCACTCTACGCTTGGTCGAGTGTGGAGCTGCTCACCACAAGAACCAACAAGTCGACATGCAGGGCAATACCCCTGGTAGCTTCCCCAATGGATTTTCTCCGACCTCTGCAGCCTCGCAGTGACAAGTCTGAGTCGGAATGAAAAAGCTGTAGTAGGCCTTGGCACCCAACGTCCCTTGGAAACAATCAGGGCACCATTGAAAGTACATCAGTCTCATCCAATTTGGCTCTCCTGACCACTGGGTTGTTTTCCGCTAGGTTTAGGTTGGACCATCTCCCGACCATGGCTGCAGCTGAGAGTCTCCACCCGGCTGTTGAGCACACATCAGCTGGCATGACTTCGGGTTGTCTGCTGGTCGTGGAGCGAAGCCCATCATGTCCAGTGGCAAGTAGCTCACTCCGTGTTCCAGACCTCAAACAGCCAGGACAGGAGCCAAGTCTTTCACAATTCGAACACTTCTTGACGTGATTGAGGGGCATCAATGAGTTTGCGCAAAATCATGCTTGGACTTGGTGACAACATTGAAGACCAATCTCAACCACACAATCCGTGGCAAACCTGCGTCCTGGCTGCAAACCTGGCGTGTCAACTTCTTCACGGCTGGTACCCGCTGCTTTTGCGGCTCCGGAGCCGTGTGGACACTTGGGGCAGGTCGCTTCACGGCCTGGATCTGCGGGGACGTTTTACAACCCACCACCATGCTACTAGCGATGGCCTCCAACCTACTAACAATGGCCTCCCTCCCCCAAAAAGAGAAACGAAGCGAAGTGCGCCTTCAGCAGTTCCGGATCATCTGCCTGTCGGCAGCGCTTGCGAGATTAAACCAAATGGTACAACCGAATCAAACGCGCAAAGCATTTGGCGTGAAACGATATGCTGAAGGCAAGCAATGGACACAAAACTCCCAGCGCATTTTCCAACATGCTGGGAGGAAGAAAAGGGCAGACTCAAAAACGACTTGAGGCCAGGGGGAGGGATTCGAAAGCCAGCTGGGGGGAGGGAGGGATTCGAAAGCCAGCTAGCCGCCGCTAGCCAAAGCGATAAGAGGCAAGCACAACAGCAGCACACCAGCAACACACCAGCACACCAGCAGCAGCCCAGCAGCAGCGCAGCAGCAGCCCATGCGCACACCAACAGCAGATCAGCAGCAACGCCTGCTTCGAGAAAACAAGCAAAACTATAGCACACCACCAATCCAACACAGTGGGATTTTCGTACATCGATGCGTTGAAGGTGTCCGAATAACCTTCTCAAGCCACGGAATACTCTTTCATGTTTCTTGGCATGACGTTGGGCTAAGGATGACATCTGCATCATCTGAAGTCAAGTAGCTTTCACAACAGGACCTCCCATGTGTCCCCTCTGGGAGTTGAACCCCTAGGGGCGTCAAGGGATGGCGCCTCACTTGCGCACACAAGATTTAACTCACCTGCGCACAAAGCCTTGCTTTATACATTTAACTCACCTGCGCACACAGGGTTCGCTCAGCTGCGCACACATCAATTACATTCTTCTTTAAACAGTGCATGTTACCTCCAACTCATCTGCGCACACAGACTTCGCTCACCTGAGTCATGATGATCTCTTTTTGCTCATTGCTTCCACAGTACCACGTCACACAGATGCTCTGCGTTTGATTGATGATATTGGGTTGGGATGGGGGGGGTGGGGGGGTGTTAATAACGTCCCTCTGGACATTCATCCACTCATTCATTCATTCATTCGTTCGTTCGTTCATTCATTCAGCCGAGCAAGCGGCGTGCACAGCCGAGGAGCGCGTGCACAACCGAGTAAATCTATGCGCGTGTACAGGCGAGGAAAATTCCGCGTGCACAGCCGAGGCTCCCCGCGTCAAGGGGGTGGGGGAGGCCTTAGACTTAGCATGATATAGCCCCGGGGGCCTCCAGAAAGCGTAAGCTTTAGAGCACAAAACTCATCCCAATACAATTGCTAAAGCAAAGAAGAACTCAGCTAGCACGCCAGCTTTCTTGATTTGCCTCGTGCTCTCCACACGGACGTTGACATGCACGATCTCCACGTTGCCAAAGCGCCTTTGCAATCGCCTCGGAGCTGCTTCGCGCCTCAGGTCTGGGACTGGTAGTTCAAGGAACCACGACAGTGGCAAGCGAAAATATCAGGCCCTAGACCAAATCCCAAACACCTGATCACCTTCCAGTTAGAGACCCCCTGCCAGCCGCCAGCACAGCTCTAACAAAAAGTGTCTCACTTGGCATGCAGCAGGGACTGTGCAGTAGGCCAAAGCACTGTGAGCTCCGGGTACCATGAATGGTGTTGCAGCAGCTCCACCTGGATCATAAGTCTCATAAGTTGCTTCAACCAAAAAATATCAAATCAAAACGTCCATGGAAAGCGCAACACCGCAGATCGGCCTGCCGCAGCCACTCCACCCGAGTCTGGCAGGCAAACTGCGCTGATAGCCGCAGGCATCCTGCCTCCTCAGGTTTAAACACTGCCTCTCAAGCATCCCCTCTCACATCCCTGTGGGAGTTTCCACGAGGACTAGCTCAGAAACTTGCTATGATGCATTTGCCAGACCAAGTTGCAGAGCAAGGTCGGGTGCAAGCATTGCCAGGCAGTAGGTGAAGCAAAGCCTGAAGTTGGTGGAGAATGCCTGCCACCCTCTTACTTTAACTACACGATGGGATCCGGAAAGCTAAATTGATAGAATTTCTTCCAAAAGCAGTCCGCATTGGACTAGCAGTAGCGGCATGCCAAGACAACTCTACTGTATTGCAAATTGCAACCACACCAGCATAGACAGAAGGAGAGCATGTTGAATCGCGTGATTCCAGAGGGTTCCAGGGAAGCGTTGCGATCACAAAAAATCTGGTTCCAGGTCCAGTGTTCCAGGGTGCTCTTCTGAAGCCAAGTTTTCCAGAGTTCCGGACAAAAAGTTGCGATGAATGCATAGCTCTAAGAGAAGCAAGCTGACGTAATATACATATAGCTTCATATATAAAATCAGGTGAGAGGACTTATTAAACATCTGCTCGTCATTCCGTTTGCACTGCCTGAAAATCACCGAAGCTGGATCCGGTAGTCAGGCCAGGATACCTGGAGCACTCAAGCCATTGAAACCCACATCTCGACCACCCTACTAGTAGCGTCCTTGCTCCTAGTAGCGATGCCAGGAGCCCCTAGTAGCGTCCTTGTTCTTAGTAGTAAGGCCAGGAGCTACTAGTAGCTTCTTGATCCTGGTAGCTTCTTGTTACTAGTAGTATGGCCAGGAGCTACTACACAAAGCAACTCACAAAGGCAAAGCTCCATTTTCTGCAAAAACTCGGCGGGTTTGCAATTGGATGCGGGACTGCGTGTGAGATGTGCGTCTGCAGGGCCCGAGTCGGAACTCGGAAGCGAAGGCTCAACCGAGTCCCTGCAAAACCTGGAGCAACCTGCAAGGTAAAGCCATCAGGCACACCCTAAGCTGTGTTGTCGGGAAACACTTTTCCCGGCGCGGGCTCCGAACCACCGGTTGGATGTTGCAATTGTGCATCCTGCCCACACGAGCACAACCACCGCCTAAACACACAACAATCACAACCTTGAGCCCTGCGCCAAACAACTTTAAAGAACAAAAGTGGTTCCTGCTGTGAGCAGAGCCACGAGGCATCTCGCTCGTTTTGAGGGAAAAAATCCATCAGCTCATCACATTTCATGCCAGGGTCCGCATTGGGTCAGGAGTCTTCCTTTGTTGGATGCCATGCACAAATTGACACAGACCCACCAACGGAATCCAAAGCAAATCAAGCAGTGCAAAACACGGCTTTCGAGAGGCTTGGGGGCAAAGTGGCTTCAACACATGTGTTGACTAATTTGAAGTCAGTGTCTGATTGTTGAACTTGTACAAGGAGCTCAGAGTCTTCCATCCCAACTTCAAATCACCCATAGGGTCATTGCCCTGAACGGTCTTGTACAGGTAAGAGTCAAATGTCACCTTCACGACAACATCTCAGGACGTGTCTAGGCTTGATTCAAGGACAACCTGCACTGCACAGGACATGGCCTTCTGCACGTACTCCTCCTCGCAAAGCTCGACAAAACTCTCTCTGGCAGCATCACTGGTGTAAAAAACCTTCTGCAGCAAGTCAAGCACCAAATACCTCAAGGCTCCGAGGGGCAAATAGCATTTGCAAGAAGCGGTCTAGGGAGGTTAATGAAAATCAGCCACGGTAAAGTGTTTGTAGGTCAGATCATTAATGGTAGATAAGGAGTGATGAAACATGATGTGAGTAGCACTACATCAACACAAATCCGTCAACACAAATCAGCCAGGTGGCGTTGGGCCGTACTTGGAGTCCCACTCCCTGATGTGCTCCATGAGGTCTGCCTAGTCCGAGCTTCAGTCAAGTCTTTGTGTATGATCTGGTGAACCGTGATTTTTGGTCATTTGGCCTTTGCCTTCACAACATGCTCTATGCCTAAATGTTGTCTTTTCATGCCTCTTCAAGGCCCATCTTGGCATCGACATGCACAGACAATTCAATTTACCTATGCACTGCCTCATCGATCATGCGAACACCATTCTGGGAGTTCTTCGCAATCGTCTCAGCACACCTCTGAAGGAATCAGAAGCATCACATTTCTATTGCTGCAACGATCGAATTTGCCCTCCCTTTGTCTCTCTCCGTAGCACCAGCGGCTCTGGGACCACCACATGCGGCCACTCTTGGCAGCAAAGTAGATGCCCTCGCCAGAGCACTTCGTGACGTAGCCAGCTGCATCACCCACCAAGATGGCACGGTCCTGGCACAAGGGGTGGCAAACAAGCGCAAACTGGGAACAAACGGGTAGCCAACCGGACAACCAGAATAGAGCTCAAAGCAGCAGCAAGCATAATACAACACCAGCTCCTTCACACGCCAAGGTCGTGGGTGTTCAGGGATAGGGTGAGCTTCCACACGGATGATGTTCCCACCGTCAATGCGCACAGCAGCCCGATCGCGAATGCCTTGCTGATATTTCTTGATGCCTTTCTTGTCCACAACCGTTCCAGTGCCGACTGCAACGTGGTCGCATTTAGGGAAGACCCAAGCATAGAAGTCAGGAGAAACATCCTCACCGACGTACATCTCTGCCCTGTCCTTGTAGTAGTCCATTTTGTTCTCGGGGATTCGCATGCGCTCCTGAAATGCGATGGCATATTCGTAGTCACCAGCCTCGATGTCCTTTGCCACTCGGCTGTTTGCACCATCTGCACCCACCACAACATCGACTTCCAGAGTCTTCTTCTCGCCCTTTCGTGCAGTGCCTTCTTCACCATCGTAGTCATTGTAAGTCAACACGTATGGCTCGCCCTTGGACTGTGGCATGGTCATTCCGACGAAAAGGCCGTTGATCAAGGTGGCCCCATTGCTCTTAGCCCGCTGGCGGAGGAAATCATCAAGAACCTCGCGGCGCACCATACCGATGAACTCGTCGTCTTTCAGAGTTTGGCCGATTTGAACCTCCTTGTTGGTAGGAGAGATCATAGTCATCTTTCGCACCTGCTCATCAGGAGTGCTAGGGAGCCATTCTCACAAAAACAAACCCGACTAAAGCCGACCACGAAAGGACCTTGCAGATAGAAATGCTTGCCATGTGTCCATGTGCCACCGGTGACATATGCGACCGATCAGTTCCTAGCCCTAATGAAAAGAAAGGGTTAGTTGCAGGACACGTGCCTGGCGATCAACGATGTCCCTCGGAAGGTCAAACTCGTCGATCATGCACAAAGGGATGGCGCCGCCACATGGCTTGCAGTTGTCGAGCTTGCGCTCGATCAAATAGGTCTCGATACCTGCCTGCAACTTGGTGCACAAGGCTGCAACATCTCTAGCAACACTATCAACCGTGTGTAGCTCAGGTTGCCACTGGTACCGCTGGGTCATATTCATGTCATTGATTTTGCCATTGCACATGCCCCTGCCTGGGCAAGCGAATCTGCAGTGGATGCTCCTGTCCAGGTGGCTGAATGAACTCTATGGAAGCAACATGTCACGGCAATATGTTGAGAAACCTCGAAAAGTATGTCAAAATTATCACCTTTACTCTACAACGACTTGCGCCACAACTCCCCGTTACAAGTTATGAGCTCCTGCTGGTCCACCTCCAACCACTGCCACTCGCAGCTTGCGACCCTCCAAAGGAGCATTGGCACAAACTACAACACGAGCGGATGACAGGGAGCGGTTGGTGGCACCGGGCCTGCAGCTAGCGGGAATCTGTCCATCAAATGAACAACAAAAGCTGAATTCCAATCATTCCGTTCATCTTGCTGCTCAACATCTGCCTCACAGAAGCCTTTTGACCCTTGGCCAGCGCATGGCCCCTGCGCGTCTTTGCTACTCCAGCCGCGGCCAAACCGGCAACAGCACCAACGGCCACTGCAGGACCAGCACGGAAGCCGCTCGCAAAGGAGGATGGGGCACTGGCACCGCTGGCCTCTGGCTAGGAGCAACAAATCCCACAAGGATGGCAGCAGTATTCTAATTGAATCGAGATTTGACCATCTGAAGCTCTTGCCGATACTGGGACCTACAAGTTTTTCTGGACCTTTTGCATGGTATCTTTCGCTATCAATCATGCAAGGAAGGTCTATGGCAAAGGCCTCTGTCTGAATGCCACGCAGTGAGCGGGGCTCTGCTGGGATGACAAAGGCATGAGCGGAACTCAAAGCCTCAGAGTGAGACAGTACAGAACAGTTGCCCATCTTGACTGACGGTGTCCAACTCATCATTTCAGCTTCACAACTTGCAAGGGTGCACGACTTGGGGCTGGACTGCGGCAGAGACTGCGAGTCCCATGTTGGTAAGGCTTGGCATGATTGGCAAGGACGAACACAAAAACACTACCCGCAAAAACCCGCTATAGGCTGAACCGAAAGGCCAAAAGGCATGCGGTCACCAAATGCTTTTTGAAATGGTTGTCTTTGTGCCGTTTCTGGTTGCTTATAATACAGCACCATTGGACCATCATCAAAATGCAATTGCTGGAGGCACCACTTGGGATGCTGATAAATACCATGGCTCATCGCATACAACCTGAATGGCTGGGTGGGAATACTGTGCCAAGGCAATGTGTTCCTGCTACAAGATGCAAACGAACAACTTCCCACACATGAGTTTGATCCAAGCAACACGTGATTAAAGCATTCAGTGCCAGCTTCCGCGTTTTGGCAATGCTTGTCTTCACGCTGGGCCTTTTGCAAAGCCAACCTAAAAGCAAGTGCATAATGCTTTCATCTGGCCATCTTTTGTGCTCTTATTATATATGTATATACCTGATGTTTCTGCTGCCAGCATCCTGTCAACCGAAGAACTGGGCTTCTCGTTTAAGATCAACCTTGACCTGCTTGTCCAGGCCACCAGGAACCTAGCGTGCCGTGTGGGCATTAGACAACACAAGACTGGTTTCAAAATTGGTATGCTGTGCATACATACTATGTACAGAAGCAGTATCAGTGTATCAATGAACTTCTGAAGCTTAGGCATATGCAGTTACTCTACACCGTCGGCTGTTGATCACTGCATATGCTCCAATTCTCAACTTTGTTGCAGGATCAATCCCCTTTGATGGGGACACTTGTAGATTTTATCCTTCATTGAAAGAGCCGATAGGTTCAATAGGGAAGAAAAACCTTGCAGAGGGAAGACTTGTTAGAGTGGAGAAGGCTGTTTTGAGAACAAACCTGAATAAAGGAGGCTATCACAACCAACCCTCACACTCCGAACAAAAACTCATGAATCATGAGAGACAAAAGGTTTCTTTGCAAAGAACGGCATTTGTAAGGACCAAGTGTGGCTAATGGGACCCTGGACATGGAGGACATGGTCTTGACGCTTTAATGCTAAAAGAGAACTGTGTGTCAAAAGAACATCTCAATGAAAGAGTTTGGGAAAGGACTGAACTATATCAGTGCAAACATAGGACTACTGAGAGGACGGTATGGCGATTAAAGTGCGTCTTTGGATAGGGTAGCCTTTGTGGAGAGTTTATTTCATGGAGCACAAAAGGCCTTGTAACTGCCAGGTGCTTTCAAAAACACAGTTCAAGTGTGTGCAAAGGTGACAGGTGTACCACTATCATCTACAAATGCACATGCATTCCTCACATACAAGCAAGACCCCAAACAAGTAATTCGGTAAATCTAGGAAAAAGGAAATCTCCACTCTGCAGTGGCAGTTGGGCTGCGGATTCTAAGAGAATCCATTATGCAAAGAGAGGGCTATATCTGTCTGCTTCAGGAAAATCGCCAAGACGACAAAGCAACGTGACTGCCAAGGGTGGTTGAATATCTGCAGTACAAACATCGCTCTCCGTAACCATCATTGGTCTCCTACCTCTGTAGCCCAAATCTCGCCTGCAAGAATCTTGAACTAGCTAGCCCGCTGCCCGGCCTCTGTACCGTTGTTGACGACGCCCGCCAGCTCTGCCTCACAGGCGAGCCTTGCTAGTCACTAGTCACCTGCATCAAAAAATACATGCCGATGCGTCGCCCTATCTTTTGATACCTTCCATTTGCGAAGGCCATGATGAATCTTGAAACTTGACCAGCTGCACGTCTGTAACAACTTGTCACTGATATGCATGTTCTTGAAGCCACAACAGGTTTCCATTACTGCCAAGAACTTTGGCGTCTAGATTATCTGCAGGAAAAAAAATATTTTGCAACCTGACAAGTCCCAACCGTGCCTGCTCCATGGCTAGAATGTCCCTGTCCTCGGGTCCTGACCACAATCAGTGCAACCTGTGGGCTGCTCTCCACTCTAAGAGCGACGCCTCCACTGTCAACTGATCTATATCGCTCTTTTCAACCAAGTCTGCTTGACTCAAAGCTACCTGAAGGACCGACACTCCACTCGCATCCGCGCCAAGTCGTTTCAGCCCAGTCCGCATTGTTCATCAGAACCATCCGAGCAGTCAATGTGACCATCGCAACGGCTGGACGCCTTGACACATTGACCACCGGAAGCCTCAGAGACGTCTGAGGCGTGTCACGACGAAGCACCAATGTGCAACAAGTCGGGGTTGTTGACCCGCAGTGTTTTCTCAGCATATAGATTTTATATTATGCATGTGGAAATGTGTCCAACTACATGTGGCAATGCAGCATGCAGCATGTATGCATTAATGTGTGCTAGGGTCTTTATTTGTTTGCACATGTCTTTCCACATTTGATATCCGTGAGCGACTGTAGATGTGAATAAGCACATTTATGTCAGTGCAGGTCTTTGCGTGCGCGCGTTGCATGTCCTATGATAAACGTGCCTAGGCCGCGGGATGTATTGAATGTTCAACAAACCTTCGACAAAACAAAAGTTTTGGAGTCAACAACATCACTGGAAACACAACAAACAGGGTTGCCACTGTCAGTGTTTAACAATACAGCAAAGCAACGCAATGAAATTCAAACTGTCTTCGATGTTCCTGACAGGTGATCTAGTTTCACCCACTTGGATTGGTAGGTTTGTATCTCTTCCATTACCGGATGCCCATGAACTCAAAAAAATTGTCCTGACAAGCGTGCTCAGCAACGGCAGATAGAATGGTGCCTGCCATTGGAAAGGGCTGCTAGTAACGGCAGCTGAACCACTGAACCAAACTCATCCGAAAAGATCTCCCTCTCCCTTTTGCTCTCGCTCTCGCTATCTCTATCCCTATCTCTATTTCAGTCTCTATCTGTCTCCATCCATCTATCTATATCTATCTTTCTCTATCCCTACCCATCTATCTATCTATCTATCTACCAATCTATCTATCTCTCTCTATCTCTCTCTTTATCTATCTATCTATGTATCTATCTATCTCTATCTGTCTATCTATCTATCTATCTATCTCCTCTCTCTCTATCTCTCTATCTATCTATCTATCTATCTGCCTGCTGCAGCTCGAACGGCTGTCCTGGCCACGTCACACGCCTCCCATGATACACTGGGGGCAAAGCACAGGGGTGTCCCAGCACCCGGCGAGCCGCTGGGGTTTGGCAGCGCTGGCATTGCTTTTTTGCTTCTGGTCTTCACGGAGCTGTTCAGCTGCGCCCGGTCCCAATTCTGGGCATTCCATCGTGCCGCTCAGATCGTTCAACACAGTTTTTGATGGAGTGGAAGGGGAGGCATGGGGCTTCCAAAACACACTCTTCATACAACTCCAAACAGAGCTTTCGTAGATTGAATAGGAAATTAGCCTTGCATGGTTTTGCTACATATAGAGGAAGGATTTGGTATGAGACACCGTCTTTACCAAGCGCCACACCTTCCACCAGGGAAGCTTCGACGCACCAACCTCGACGCTCTAGACCTCATGCCACCTTCATGAGCTGGAACTGCGTGGCACTGTCCTCCCATGACTACACGGAACTGACGCAGTGGATTGCATTGCAACAGCTGGACATTGTCTTGCTCCAGTCCACAACATGACGATCAATGAGCCTCGGCAGAATCGGCATTCCCTGCTGCAGAAGCTGAACCCCTGAACGGGGGCCTCATCACCCTCATCCGGAATGGTTTTTGTGCAGCTGACAACATCAGCATGAGAGATGTGATCCCGGGACGACTCCAACAGATTCGCTGTTACACATAAAGGCTTTCCCATTTTCCACTGCTCGCTCACCGGACCATCGACCTCTTCCCTCTGGGCTGGAAGGTGTGGTTGAAACATCAGATCAGTCGTGAGCAGAAGATCCCAACCACGATGCATCGACAACTCTTGCAGGATCAACGAGACTCACACCCTAGATGACCACGCTGCTTGAGAAGGCTGGACAAAGCATTCAGACACTTCGTACGCGGTCAGCAGAACAGTTGAACCGGACTCTCATGAAAGTCATTCAACAACGTACCAACACAATCATACAGAACATATGCCGTTGTGGGTTGGTCAACGAATCAACAATCAAGATCCATTGTTTCGAGGAAGTGGAAACATCTTTTCTGGGCGAGGAACCCCACGTCATCAACTCCTGGATCCAGGCCATCTTGCATTGCTGGAGACACATGAGCAGGCCCATGGCATTTCGTAAACAGCTCAAACAGGTGTGCCAAGAACAACGAACGCACAGGATTGCAGATGCCACCAACCAGGCCTCCAGAGCGGCAACAGCTCACGATTCGAGGGGTCTCTACGAGGCCGTCAGAAGGCTCACGCCCAAGCAGGCGAGGAAAGCTATCCGTTTCAGAGACACTCACGGTCATCTCATGCTGAACTGGACACCCTCAAGGTGCACTTTGGTAGGCCGTTTCAAGCTGATCCACCGGCGCCCAAGGTGATCAATTGCACACCATTGATCCTAACTGTGGATGAGATTGAACCTCAGCTACAGAAGACAAGGGTACACAAAGCTGTTGCTCCAGGTACACCTCCAGCTGCAGTGATTCGTGCACTTGCGCCACAACTTGCGGCCTGGGCGCAACACTTCATCCTGACCAGCGGTGTGCTCAGCTAGTGTTGGAAGGATGCCAAACTGGCCCTCCTGGCGAAGAGGACAGTACAGTCACCATTGGACCTTCGACCAATTGCACTTACAGATGCCACTGGTAAAGCAGTATTGGGTGCATACATGCAGCGCGCCATACGCTGACCTCCCTACCTCTGTTTGCCTATCGCCCTCGAAGAGGCGTTGCTGAAGCGCTCGTGCACAGCAACCAAAGCATCTTCAGTGCTACACGGGTGTGAGGAGTGGTAAAAGAGCGTGGTGTGAAATATTGGCCCCGCGCCTTTTTTCTACCTCTGCAATGAAATCCGTGATCATTGCGCAGCCCTTGCCCCAGGTGCATCCAATCAGAACCACAACCTCCATGGTCGTGAACTCAATGGCGGTATGATCTTGTCAATGAACCTCAAGCAAGCTTATGACCGCACTTGTTGGGTACTTAGGGGCCCAGATTTCGTTTGGCGCGTTTGAGACCCAAACGCTCAGACACAGATTGAGGATTGGGACCACTGCATAGAAAAGACTGAGACCTTGGTTCACTGGACAACATGCACTCCCCACAAGAGTCAGAGCACAACTTTGGGTTGCTAGCATTCGTGCTAGTTACTGCCATGGATTGGCATGTTCAGTGCTCAGACAGGACGGAATCATCATCTACACCCAATTGGCAGCACTGCATCTTGCAGCCGACCACAACAGCTCCGCCACTCACAAAGGAAAAGGGCCAATGCGACGCTGACTACTTTTGGACCCAGCCTGAATGGTGCGCCTGGCTCAGTGCCCACTGCAGCGTGTGTGAAGCGCAATGCACACTTGATGACCTCCCCAATCATTTGGCGGCACAGCACTCTGAAGTCCTCCAGAAGGGACAGGAAGAGGTGCACCTATGTTCAAGACCGATGCTTGACTGCTGTCATTTCTGCCGGATAGTTGATTTGTGCCCTGTTGCCCTCAACATCTCGCGCTGGCTGATCCATCACGTCGAAAATGGAGCTGGACGACGAAGCCCTGATGCAGCTGCGCGAGACCTTCGGAAGTCTGATTGCCAGCCCAAGGAACCGGCAACCAGAGGAGGACTCTGGCAATTGAAACGCTCAAGAAGACCAAGGAATGGAAAAAGGCGGCAGAGCAATGGGAAGCTCCAATGGCTCTCAGGACACTCCTGTTCAGCACGCTGGCCATGACACTACAAGAGAGGGTGACCAGGCTATCCACACCCAATGATACGAGCGAGATCTGGAAGGAGGCAATGGACCACCAGGTGATCGACAATCAGGGCTCATGGCCGTTCCTGGAGTTGTTGTTCCAAACAGCTGAAGATCCTTGACAAGGCACCCATCAAGATGCCACAGATGCTGAAGCACATCGAGGAGCTGGTGGAACTGGCCACTTCCACGGAACATGTGCTGAGGTTCAAATGTCTGAAGCCCCAGGAGATGGAGAGTGGAAAAGCAAAAGTCAGCCCTTGGCTGTTACAACTCTCAGAGAGGAGAGGCTGCATGGCCTATTGACAACCTTGACCAACAACGCCGTCTGGGTCCTCATACAAACCATGACAGCACATTCTGCACAAACACCTGGGGTTGCCATGCCATGGATGTGGGGCAAAGAGCTTGTTGCATGAGCGCCCCCTCAAGCTAGTCCACAAATGTCATGTGGCCTTGAACCTGTGCCTTGGCTTGGAGCACCGTCGACGTGAACTGGCACCCAGAAGCACGATCTTCCAGGCACCTCGGCATGCAGCAAATGAGCAGCAGTCCGCCTGATCTTGCATTATTCCTGCAGCGCTTCGATGCACTACTTGGCACTCACTAGCCTCCACGGCCACACTATGAGCTTAGCCCAGCTGCGCCGAGCCGCTGTGACTGAGGGATTCCAAATTGACTTGAGTCACAACTCGTGGTTGCATGATGTAGCAGGGCCTGTTGGAACACATGCTGTGCCTTTCTGTTGAATGCTCAAGCTGACTAGTGCACAAACCTGTGAAGCCTTGGCCTCGGTTGGCCTGTCGGATTTGAATATTCCCTTCCATGTGCAGTCATGCCACGTAGCAATGTAAGTTTCTCCTTTTGTGTGCAGCACAGTTGCCACAATGGCTTTTGACACCGCTGCCATCAATTTCAACTGGCCTGTCGGCCCTACTTCCTCTTTGGCCTGCTGGCCTGGCTCAAGCATCTTGAGGGTGCCGAGACAATGTCTCGATGCCCACATAGTTTCCGACTCGTCGGAGAATGCAAACTGCAAAAACTATCTATCTATCTATCTATCTATCTATCTAATCTATATCTCTCTCTCTCTCTCTCGCAGGCATCGCCTGAAAACCAGGCTTGCCACCATCCCATGGCTCGGGGCCCCATATCAGCAGTTTCTCGTCTCAGGCTCAACAAACCTATCATTGTGAGATGCGAGGTTGACAGTTCAAAAGCGTTTCCACTCCTAATGCATTGTTGGAAGAAATCCAACCTTTGAACCAACATGGAACTCAGCTGGGCTCAAAACACTGCTGCACATGGACAACTGATTTCTTCGCCTTTGCCCTGCGCAGCACCAGAGATGATGCCCGGCAGGTCCAACAGCTGAATTTTGCAGTCGTTGTAGTTGATGACACCTGTGTGAAGCATCCCCCGACCAAGTGTTCAAACAACATGAGCCATCCATATATTTGGCAAGGGGCTTTGTCTTTGGTAGGTTTCGCTGCTTTAAACACGCATGACCCTTTCCAATGTGCCATTGCGGGCGTACCAATATGGCAATAAGTCGGCATAGCACATGTGGCCACATATGCGCAACCACGACAACGCGACAACAAGAGAAAACATGAGAAGGCAACCAGCTCTGGAGCCCACATTGGGGCCGAGCATGCCAGCAAGTCAGCGCGGCAGCATGACCCGACTTCAGCCTTTCAGCGTGCCAATGCCAGCATGCTAGCTTGGCGCCAGCATTGCAACATGTCAGCATGACAAGCTGGCAACACGTCGGCATGAGGCCACGCCTCCAGAGGGAACTCCTCCGACACCTCCTCTAACCCCTCCTGGTCCCAAACATGCTCCACAACCTTCCCCGGAACTTGCTCCGAAACCTACTGCAGAACTTGCTCCAGAACTTGTTTTGGCACTTGTTCCAGAATCTGCTCTACCCGAACATGCTCTGGAACTGCTCCGGGACCTGCTCCGGAGCTTTCCCCGCAGCTTGCTCCAGAGTCTGCTCCAGAACTCTCTCCAGAATTTGTTCCAAAATCTCAATAGCCGCGCTTTTACTATGGATGAAGATCCCTGAGCTTCGCTGTTGAAGAAAATGCAAAATATGTTCCCAAACTGGAGGCCGGCCTGGAATACATGTCAACGTGGTGAACTCGTACGCAGCTACCTCCGACTGCACCCCGGTAAGGGCAGTCAGCAAAGAAGACTTCCCAACCTGTTCATAATCGCACAAGAATGCCAAGCCTACGAACTGCAAAAAAATGCACCGTGCGGAAAAACAAAGCCCAAACCACATGCGTGTCACCCAAAAAACGTTTCCATACGTTTCCTGAATTGTCATTGGTTTGTACAATGTGTCGGTCCCATGCTGCCAAAACCCAACAGTCTGGGGCATCGGCTGAGGGAAACCCAATGAGTGCTACTCTGGAATCTCCAAATCTTTGTACCTGGACATCAAGGTCACAAGAGCCAATTCTGTTGCACAAGCGTTCCCGTGCCTCGAACCCTTTGGATTTGCCTCCTCCTGATTTTTCAGGGCTGAATAATTCCTCAGTTGACATCCAACATGCTTCCTGCCCCAGCCTGGTGGTCCACTAGGAAAATATCAACAGCATCCACGGAAAGATTCAGCACAACATCATTTCTGGATCCGCATTGGTCAAAAACAACCCCACCACATGCATGGCATATTAGTATTGTATACTGGTTCGAATTGCCGGCCCCACCCACTTCTCACAACGAAATATCATTCAAGGAGCGCGTCTGGCGGCACAAAGTTTTGCCTTGAGGTCGCCTAAATGCTTGGCTGTCGCTTTATTTTTTTGTGTCCTGCCGCGCCCCCATCCAGCAATGCGGAATCTGAATATCTCCCCATTTTGTTTCAGAGCACGTGTTCACTTCACCCTCAGAACAGGACCACAAGAAAAAAAGGATCACATACTAAAACTCGTTTAGGAAACTTCTGTTGAAAATGGGTTTATCCAGGGCACGTTCACAACCCAGACTTACAAGTACATTTTCAGATTCCACCCAGCCGGGCCTGGAGATTTCCAGCTCTAACGTGGCAATCTTCTCAAGCAGTGGCGGCATCTTGCAAAATTGGCACTTGTTTATCTCTTGTTCATGTGGTTGTTCCCCTGAAGTCCGACATCGGTTTCGTAGAAGGAACAGGTATGAACACAAGGATGCCAAGGTTTTTGGGCAACGGTCTTGTCAACCTGGTGTGGTTTACTCGATTTTCCATTCGTTGCCCACACGACTGTAAGCCAAAACGGCAACTACATCATTGACATTTCAATCACGAACACACCGAGCAGCAAGTTCATAGAATTTTCCAAGTCCAAGATTAATACATTTGGAAGCGAATCCGGGATCCCGTTTTCGGATATCAACCATATATTTCGATACCTGCAGAACTGCCACAGGTTCAGTTGGGGGTATGCCCCGTCATGAAAATAGAGGGGATGGACGATGTAAACCGGCACAACGGCGTGAATTGCACCCGGCCCGCGAGCGCCACGAAAGGACTAATATGTTTGGCCAATTGATGTTTGTGATGGGAAGCTGGGGTTGGGTGCCACGACTCCGGTAGGCTCACAGCTTACGCAGCTTAGATCGATAGGCAGACGGTGTGTGGGATGCCAAAGAAAGCCAGGCAAAAAGGCCGGGTGGCTGGCCGTAAGGCAAAACAGTTGAACCAGCACCGCGTTTCAAGCGGGCCAGTGCATGCAACGAACGCACTGGAACAAATGTTGGTACTGTTGTTGCTTCAAATTTTCATGCGACAAAAGGAGGGGGGGAACGAACAGCGTGGATGCCATTCACGCGAGCGACCAAGAACACAAAAATAACGGCCAATTGCACCACGCACACACACAAAAAAAATAGAAACAAATCAATCAGCACACCATTACCACAAGTCAGGACGGAGTGCAACCACACATGGTTGAACAACAAAGATTGCGCCTTCCTTGGAGTTGCAGCTATTTCGGCGAGCCAGGCGATGTGCGACAACACCGTCACAACGAAAAACGCTGAGTTTGCAAATTCGAACACTGCACCGTTCAGAAGTGAAAAAGTGGAGGTCCAATCGATTGACACGCTGTTTGCATAACATTTCGAGTTGGAAGGATTTGGGAAGACAAGTGTCGGCAACATTTGGACACCCAACTGTCCAACAACCTCCGCCCGACCAATTTGCTGACATGTTGGAATTGGTGTTTGTTGGTCCAGTAGAAGGCATGGAACCACCGGAGGTGCTCTCTGAGGAGGTGTTCACGCCAGAAGAATTGCATCGAGCGATTGGCAGGTTGAAAACGGATAAAGCACCCGATGAAGCAGGTCTAGCAGCAGAACTATGAAATACATTCCAACTGAATTTTCGCAAAGCGTGTTGCACTTGTGCAACCAGGTGCTCTACCACGGTATGGTGCCATTGTCGTGGAAAGACACTGTTTTCACCATGTTGCCGAAAAAAACCCGGGCAGTCCAGCCATCTGATTTTCGACCTGTCGCTAACACGAGGCTGTTTTACAAAGTCTTTGCTTATATGTTGTTAGGCAGGGTGGAGGACACACTGGAAATCCACCAGCCGGAAGCACAACATGGTTTCCGCCCCAACCGCCGTCTCGAAGAGCATTTGGTGACCGCCAATTTGTTCCTGGATAAGGCTTGGTCAGTTGGTATGACAGTATGGGTCGTCAGTTTGGATTTGTCGAAGGCACCGCGTACATTGGCCAGCTCTTTGGACCCCGTTGGAGCAGCAAGGGGTTTCGCAACATTTGACATGGACCTTGCACAATTTATATCGGCAACAGTTCGGTGAAGTAAAGGGTGAGGCAGGCCGAAGCCCGAAATTCCCGATCACGGCAGGTGTGCGACAAGGATGTGTTTTAAGCCAATGCAGTTTTACAGGAGGCTATGGAATCATGGCGTGATTCTGCGGGAAATCGTGGGTTCGATTTGGGAGATGGGATGGAATGCTTATTGGACCTCCGGTTTGCCGACGACATTTTGTTGCTTGCGGCTATAGAGGAAGAACTTACAACGCTTTTGGACGCTTTGGTGGAAGAATTGGCGGGCGTCGGACTACTTCTGAATCCTGCCAAAACCGTGGTGTTGACAAATCAAGCGCAATTTCACGCAGAAAGGTTTATCCTTTAAAATACTCCCACTTGAAGAGGGTCAACGCTGGCTCGGGTGCATGCTAACTGCCCAAGGTTCTGCCGGCCAGGATGCAGATCTTACATATCACTTACAGCAAGCGACGAAAACTTTTTGGGCCAACAAGCACTTTCTTGTCGATCATCAAGCTGGAGTTAGGAGCCGGTTGAAATATTTTGATGCGTGTGTTTCCTCGGCTGCTTGCTTTGCAGCGGGGCACAGAACAATTTACAAAAAACAACTGGAAAAAATTGACGTGACTGTTCGGAAGCTTTGCCGGAGCATTGTGCGTGCACCTTCACGGACCGATTGGTCAGCTGAATGGCATGACATTTTGCATTGTTGGAACGAACGTGTTCGTGTATTTGTTTCGGACGCCGGCATACCAACATCGGCAGCGACATGGTGCGCACAACGTTGGAACCTTGCACGGCACATTGCTTCATTGCCTGCGAGCCGGTGGGTGCGAAGAATTTTGCGCTGGACTCTGGCTGGACCACGTCGGGGACGCCCAAGAAGCATGTGGACAACAAAATTGGAAGAATTCTGCCGGTACAAAAATTTGGGCAATTGGACCGCATTGGACACTGGACAATGGCAACGGCACAGGGACGACTTCACATTTTTCTGCTTATTTTAGCAACTTTTACGGTTTCACTTTGTCAAATGCGCAAGTGGGCCCGCCAACCGGCGTGCAGGCCAAAAGCAAAGCAAAACCGAGCGCGTAAACGGAGTTGGCGGCCGCATGCGGCGCCGCTGGTGGTGCCTCCTCAGCGGGCGGCCTTTCGCGGGAATAGCGGCGAAAAACAATAGAAATCACTGCAATCACTCTAACACTTTCAGTTTCCAAAACTGCCCCATCCTGTTCTTTCATGAGTCCATCACTTGCACCCACAGGGCTGGACATTAATGTGTTGAGATTGGCTACCTGCACGTGCAAAGGTCCCTACCTGCACCTGCAAAGGCCCCAACTCTTGGTGAAGCACCTAACTTCGCCCAAGCCGAGTCATGGGCGCGGGACGGTGTCGCCTTAG